TTGCTTTCTTTGGGATGCACATAATAAATACATCATTCAGTTTCTCTTCCTATTATACTCTGCTAGTAAAAGTTCAGCCTTAAAATACTGTAAAAGAGAAAGTGAAATACATTATCACAAACTGCAGAGCAATGACAGGACACAAGTATTCATTCTACAACTATACACTTGCTAATTACTGCATGGGTAACAATTAGCTGCAAGGAAGTCCTATATAAAACCTAAACAGCAGCCCGTGAAAAAGCTATAAGAAAATTCCATTGACAATATTTTGGACTCTTTTACAGATCATGCTGTTTGTGTGTGTGGCCTCTGGGCTTAGTGGCCAATGCAAATATTACCCTGAACCAAAGTTCACAGAGCATCTAATGGAAATTTCACACCACAGAAGGCTGTTTCAACTCCCTAAAATATTGGGAGATTAAACAGATTTCAAAGTTGACTCTGATGGGGCAAAACTGTGGTGGAAATGCATAATGAAATATTGTGGAAGTTGGCCTTCCTGTTTTTCTCTCTTAACATCAAAGAAGCAGGTGTGAAAATCTGCTGGTGCACCATTTATATTTATCTGTGTTAAAGAGGTTTTTAGAGAATAGGAAGAAAGTATGTAGGAAGCACAAAAGGCTAAACCCTACAATGACTGTATTATAAGACTGATTTTGGATCCTTTATTTACCAAAAGTTACAGTAATGTATATCTGTCATCTTCCAATAAGATGTCGAACTACTCTGCATGGACTCAGTAAGTTTCTGAACTCAATTCAGATTAGAGCTATAAGGTTCAAGACCAAAACATCTACTGAATTGCTGTTTCCTGCATGAGCCCATCCATCCATCGTGACCTTTTTGTGACTCTAAAATCATGTGAAATAAGAGATATTTTTTTCCAGCAGCAGGAAAGAATAGATTCCTTGTTTTATAAAACTCTGAGAAAGAAAAAAAGACACAATGTTCACATCCCACCATTCCCTTCTCATTGCACTTTATTTTGGTGCTTTCCTTTCCTTTCACTTTCCCTCTCTTTGTCTGTTGATTGACCGATGACTTCAGAAGACTGAAATAATGCTCGAGATTATATTTTCACTGATTGAAAGTATAAATCTGATTTTCTCAAACATCAAATTACACTTTCAATGAAGCCCCTTGTATCTGTGTGCCCAGGGTAACCGGATCACCCCACGCAAGCAGCTCTAGCTATTTACCCTTAATTAGTTTCCCGGCAAAATGTTGCTATTTGTCTCAGTTTTTAATATGCTAATTCAACCATTTTTAATTGACAGGAGTTTGGATTTTATTTCTGTCACACTGAGTTCATCTCTCTCCATGCTGCCCTTTATTGCTTCTTTTTTTCATATGCTGGTTATATAAATTCCTACTGCTTTTTAACTGTCTCATATCCAATGTATGTTGATATAAATGGTAGAAATAACAAAATTAAATAATTTCAGGTAAAACTGTAAAGGGATGGATGCCAACCTCCAAAAAAGCATTGATGGCCAAGATTCTATGACATCATTTTGGCTTTCCTATTTAGCTTCCTTTATTCTCAGTACACCAAATTAAATTCATCAGGCAGTTGCTTCTTGATAATACTCCTTTAGAATGCAATGGATGTGAATGGCACATACTTGAATGTGTTGAAGATTTGCAAGGCAAATAAGATTGTCAATTAAAGTGTTAAGATATTCATCTCTTTAATTTGCCTAAAATAATTCACTTCATGATATTATATATGCCTAAATTGAAACAGCAGATTGTCTCTTGCACTCTCTTTATCTTTATCCATACAGATCTTGCTTCCGGCAGTTCACAAATCCAAGCTTCTAGGCTGACAATTTTTAACTTTTTTTTTTTAAATTAGCCATTGTCTAACATAAGAAATGTAGAAAAATATTATGTTTTCTTTATTCAAGTGATAAAGAAACCAACCAACAACTCTAAGCATCCTATTTTATACATACCCTTCAAAAGACAAGAATGGAATTTGGTTACAGGATCAGCAATGAATAATATTGTCCTTAAATAAGTAATCATAAGATTTTATTACATTTTCCCCAGCATGAATAAAGATATTGTCTACTGCATCCTTCTAAGAGGTAATAATATTTTAGAAAGGGGTAAAACATCTGCTTCCAGATGTTATTAGATTCCAAATTTCATCTTCCCTCTGCAGCATGTTAAATATTGAGGGATGTTGGAAACTATACACTTGGTTCACCCATAGTAATCATATAATTTAATTCATTTTTACTTAGAATGATATATGAACCTAACTTATGGTTTAATTGTATCTACTTAGGAAATATTTCTAAATAAATCATCACATGAATACAGTTTTCTTGGGAAGGTATTATTTGTTTTTATCTTATCCTTATTATTTTTTATAAATAATTCAAGATGGCAAACATACCTGATACTCTTTCTTCCTCCTATTTTTCTTACAACAGCAACCCTGTGAGGCAAGTTGGGCTAAAAGAGACCGAGTGGCCCAAAGTCACCCAGCTGGCTTTCATAGGTAAGGCACAGTCTGCTGGTTTCCAGCCTGGTACCGTAACCACTAGCCCAAACTAGCAAATTTGGGATAATCACAAAGGCACAAGCAGTGCTGTTTTAGTTATGTGACAATCTTGTAATTCTGCATGTATGACATCCCCACAGCTTTTCTTTATGGAAGGCGAAATACTGTTTTACACAATGTGTAGTTAGACTGCAAGGCTAAAATTGGATGTATTCAAGTAGAAGCCCATGTTTTATCACAAGCAGCTGTCTTTCAGCCTCACTCACTTCACTTTATCTAGGCTTTCTCCTCCAGGACACTAACCCGGTTGCCACGTATGCAGTAGCAAAGTTCTGTGCTGCTGCAATGTCCATAAGAAAAAAATTGGCTATAGTATAGTACCATCTTGTACCAATTATCTGGACATACCTTTAACAATCTTTGGACCATAATGTTATTATCCACTTTTAATGTAAATACTTTTAATTACATTTTAATGTTAGTATTTTTAATATAGTGTAAAGACAAATGTACATTGCTGGTCTTTGACCGTAATAAAGATCTTACTTACTTACTTACTTACTTACTTTATGGAAGGAGAAATACTGTTTTACACAATGTGTAGTTAGACTGCAAGGCTAAAATTGGATGTATCCAAGTAGAAGACCATGTTTTATCACAAGCAGCTGTCTTTCAGCCTCACTCACTTCACAGGACAAGGATAAAATCCTGGAGGTGGCATGTAAAACGTTTACAGTTATAATAAGAATGTTACCTTTTCCCTGTTGCTGTGTGCTGTTAGGGACCGATGAGCAGCTCCCCTTAAGGCAGTCCTGTAGTTGTAAAAATTGCCAGTAGGATCCATCTGGTGCTGAAATAAGAGGGAGTGGTGGTGTGTGAAGAGAGAAGGGCCATGTGTAAGTTCTCGAGTCAGATAAAAGGTGGTATTATCTTTCCATCACAAAGTTTATATAGCTTGATAAAAAGACTACGTCACACAAGTGAATTGAGAGGATGACTTGATTTCCCCCCCTGCAGATCAGTCACTTTCTGTTATCTCCTTTTATTCTCCCTCTTTATGTTTTTATGGAATAAATTCCTAAGGATGCATATAATACGCTTCCTAATGTTAATTTTTTGGGGTACGGTATGTGGCTTGTTCCTACTTTATTTGTGGTTGTATCTGGATTGAAATGAATTTACTCTTCTGTGAGAACTTTTCCATTTTGGGATATCTGGGTGAAGAATCTGACATGGTATGAGAATTCCATTTAATCATGTGACCCTCGATTATGAACATTCAAGTCTCAACAAACATACAACTCTCAATGTATTACCTCAAGAATAAAAAACTTGGCTGTTTTCACTTTTGACCAGGTCTTCTTTAGCCTAGATACTGGACTCATATTCATTCCAGCTGGAGGGAAAGAAGATGACCAATGGAGGAGAACATTAAGAAACAGAATAATTGTTGAATACCCTTAAATCGATACAGAAGTAACATGGGCACACTTACAGATGATTGCCATCAGTGAATTAAAGTTCCCTATGTTAAAGCACTCCCGGGCGACATCAATGAAGAATTCAATGACTTGTGCCCTCTGCTTCTTTTTGGCAGGCTGTAAATAAACAAGCAGATGAAAATGTAAAAAAAAAATGATTGAAATGTCATCACTCCATCAATAGGAAATGTCTTATTTTTTTACTGCGCAATCCAATGGTTTAGCATGTTGGATAATCTCATTCAAATCACTTTGATTATTGACATTCACTCCTGGTAGCTCTAGGAATCAAAATTCCAATTAGACAGTGACTGAAGTCTAGTATACCTTTAAAAAATAAGTCTTCACTGCTGATCTGACAAACGTATACACAAAAGACAATTAATTCCAGAAATATCCTGTCTAGCAAATTATCAGCGCAATGACAACTATTATAATTTTTTCCCAGGCTTTAATTAATTAGATAGGCAGTAAAGGCATCCTCAATGTCTGTCTTAGTTCTGTAGACCACAAATAAGTTCATTTTTCTCCACTGCCTATGTTAGATGGGACTATTTCACCATTAAAGAGTGGGAGTCTTCCTGGACTCAGAGTTTCTGCTCAATGAGCAGATGGGAGCTGTAATCAGGAAGGCCTTTCCAAAGCTTCATTTGATATATCTGTTGTTTATTTGTTAGATCAGGGATTCTTCAGATAATACTTGTATCCTGGTCACCTCATTGCTTGACTACTGCAATATGCTGTACAGGGAGTCACCCTTGAAGTTTCAGCTGGTCCAGAATGGGAAAATAATGAGCATGCTTTGATATACCCATGTAACACCTATACCTTGGTTGCCATCCTGCTTCAGGGTGCCATTCAAGGTGCTTATTGTTTCCTTATAAAGCCCCAAAAGGCATACAGTAGATATCACTTGTCTCCCATAGTATCTGCCTGGCCAATTTGTCAATTAAACAATGCCTTCTATTGGGATCCTGGAAATGTGCCTTCTTTGGAGAACAAAAAACATGACCTTGATGGATGGAGGGAAGATCTGTTATCAGGGCAACAAGCAGATAAAGATTGGAGAAACTCAGATTAGTGGGGAAGCAGCTGAAAGCATCTCAGGCATCCCCCAACTTCACTCGAAGATAATAGAGAAAAATTCCAAAACCCAATCTTAATAAAAACAGTTTTTGGCACTCCTAGAGTCTTGGTCTACCTTGTAAGGCTGATCCTTTCTCCCTAGCAGCATCTGCTGTCTAGATTGAGTTTCTCCTTGATTTCACCCTGCTGATGTTTTGAAGGACCTTGAAAACCTGGGTTTTCACCCAGGCCTTTGGCAAGTATGAGTGTCAACCCTCCTTTGGACCATGTGAGATTCTTTCATTCCCATCCAGTTTTCCCTCATTCTTCCCATCTTCATTCTTCATTGTTGTCTATCACTTCATTTTTTTCTTGTTTTTAATGTTTTTTTAAATTTGTAACCACCCATGGTCACTGAGAGTTGGGAGCATCTAAATTTAAATAATATTTATAGTAATAAGAGCCGAAGAGTCACATAGGTTGGATTTGTATCTTAAATAAATTTAATCTTAAAATCACATTTATTTTTTGTGACCTAGATCTGTTCCTTTCTTTGCCTTGGGCTAACCTTCTTTGTGGAGTATGAACTCCAAGAATGCCACTCAATAGCCAAGTTTGATCCCTGGCCTCTCAATCATTCCACTCCCACTATACCAAAATGATTACTTCATCACTGCATTGATAGCCTGATCATTGCTTGAGGTTTACTGCAACATTTCTGTGAAATGCATGCAAACTTAAAGCTTTTATTCATTTTAAAAAAGACAAACTCACTCAAACAATTATTTTTAATGAGAGAAGAAGAAAAAACAATCCTCCATAGAATTTATTACCAAATGCTTTCAAAATATCATAATGATGCCATCAGTATAACAGGATCTGACTTACCATACAGATTTCTGTTGCTACAAGATAGCAGAGTCTATTGAACCATTTCACATAAGCCTCGAGATTACTAGTCTTCTTCTGTTCACTGAAACAAGGCTGGAAAATAAAATAAAAATAAGATAAAACATGACATGAACTAAATCCTCCAGGGTTTTTTCCCCCCTGAGTTTTCGTTGTTTTAAATTATTGAAGGTATCTAAAAATGTTGCTCAAGAGACAACAGAATGTATATTTTTGAACATGTGGACATGTGTACACAGGACTGCCTGAAAGGCTGGGCATATGGAACTCTGTTTTAAATATAAAAAGATGGGAAGTGTCAGATGTCTTTGATTTCACAGCCGACAGCCCTTTCTGCAAATCAAATCGATGCACGATGAGCAATTCTGTTTTGCCAACAGCAACTGTTCAGAATGCTCCCCACCTCCACCCCATCTACTGAGATATTAACAGGCAGGATAGTGCTATTCGCAAAGAGCAACAAGAATCTGGAAAGTGAAATCAGAGGAATGTCCTTTTTTGTGTAACAGCCACATTTCATCTGTGCCTTTAACAGAGGAGTTCTTCAATGTTGACAAATGCAATGGCTGAGGCTGTCATCGGAGTTGTCTAACATAAAACAATATTTCTGAGAATGAGAAAGGAAGACAAGGGAGTGAATGCCCTGGTTCTTGATTGGAATGATATTTGCTTTGAAGAATTGTTTCTTTCAGAAGATAATACCTTTGCTACTGACCTCTTTATCTTAACCTACCTCTATATCACCAGTTGCTGTGAAACAAGTCACCCAAATGGCAAAATTCATCAGCAAATGTCATTCTTGTGACCTAAACCTTTTAGACAGAGGTTCCTAGGCAACCACTCACAACTGGGACCTCCCAGCTTTCTTTCAAATGAATTTCAATCTAGAGACTTAAGGTGCAATTCAATAACATCTACTCTGCAGCTATTCCCACTGAGTCCAATGGGACTTGTTCCCAAGTTGGTATGCACACTCTGCAAGGTTAAACTACTGAAAAAGATTCCAGCCACAGAGAGTATTTTAAAAGCATTTATGAATCTGTATTTTGAAATATTTGTATAACTTTTAGCAACCGCTAGAGGGTATCAGGAAATATTAGAACAAATGCCTCTTATTAATGTTATCATTTCCAGCTCAGGCCTTAAGGATACAATAAATCAACGAGGAGGAAGTTTTTATGCAGAGAAAAGGGGATTCCCATAAGTGGAATAAATATAGAAAAAGATGCCATTGGGATTTTTGGGTTTCACAATATTTGCAAATTTCTCCATTGCAGAAAACATCTCCTAAGGCTAAAGTTGATTAATGAGAGATGATGGAATTTTATGTAAAGCAGGGACTACTTTTAAAATGCAAGCAGCCTGAAGCAAATTCAGTGTGGTGGAATATAACTTGAAAAGAAATAACACTGCTGTTGTGGTTCATGGCAAGAGGCGGCAAAAGTCATCTAAGAAGTGACTTAAGCATCCTTTTCCCAGCAATCTTGCTTGGGATGGTATTGTCTAGTTAACATTGTTTTGAGTTCTATTTGCTACTACAGGTAGTCCCCGACTTACAATCATTCATTTAGTGACTGTTCAAAGTTACAACGGCACTAAAATGTGATTTATGACCATTTTTCACAATTGCAACCATTGCAGCATCCCAATGGTCATGTAATCAAAATTTGGATACTTGGGATCTGGTTCATATGATGGTTGCAGTGTCCCAGGCTCTTTTGCAACCCTCTGACAAGCAAAGTCAATGGGGAAGCCAGGTTCACTTAACAACTAGGTTACTAACTTAACAACTGCAGTGATTCACTTAACAACTGTGACAAGAAAAGTTGCAAAATGGGGCAAAATTCACTTAACAACTGTATTGTTTAGTAACAGAATTTTTTTGATATATTTTAATTACTTTTACATTTAAAACAATGCAGTTGTTAAGTTAGTAACCTAGTTGTTAAGTGAATCACTGCAGTTGTTAAGTTAGTAACCTAGTTGTTAAGTGAACCTGGCTTCCCCATTGACTTTGCTTGTCAGAGGGTTGCAAAAGAGCCTGGGACACTGCAACCATCATATGAACCAGATACCAAGCA